CCGTTACTCGCTGACGAGTATTCGACACACATAAAGAAGATGGTCACGCAACGCGTTTTCTTTCATGAGCTTTTCTGTGACTGAAAACCCCGATATGTGATGTTATCTGCCTACCGCACTCCGGACATTCAAAAATCTCGTAACTTTTTTTTACGGTTTTTATTATACAGGGTGTCCCAGAAATAAGTGCAAGTATTTTAAGGGGTGGTAGATCTCGATAAAAGAATCATGTTTTCTCTTCATCGTTTTTCAAATAAGTCCAAAATAACGGAGTTATTTTACTTTGAAAATTACCAAAAAAAACTGATTTTTTGCTAAAATTTTGAGAACCACTGGACCTTTTCCGGATTTTCTTTCTTGTAAATTTAATGTAATACCTATGTTGCCATATTATCAAGAAATTATGTTTTTTAACTAAAAACTAAAAAAAAATCCAAAAAAATGTTCAAAAAATTTCGAATTTTCAAAAAGTTTTTTTCGCGAAAAAAACTCATAGGCGTGTTTCTGGGGTTGAACGATACTACCAGTTAAAATACTTGCACTTATTTCTGGAACACCCTGTATATATAAATTCCGAATAACGACCATAATCGTTATTCCGAATTTTTCGAATCCATATTCTTACAAAGATATTTTGTATAAGTTTAAGTAGGTATACCAGAATACATAATCATATAATAATCTTATCGTTCATAAATTATCCCCCCACTTGTTCATAACTCTCAAGGTTACTCATCCAAGGTTAAATAACGTCAGCCGTTCGATATCCATATGCGTCATGCAAGGGAGCATATACAGAACTAAATAACATGCTTAATTCAAGGCCAAATTACGCTACCGATTCAAGGTTACGGGTTATAATATTAGATTTGTCGATATCTAATCAGAGTGAACTTTTATTTACTAATATCCACTAATGATGGAAACTTACGTTTACTAATCTGAATTATCTGTAAGATTTTTTAACTCACATATCGATAAGGTTTTATCAAAGTAATACATATTTTTTTTCGACATATGTATTCCGTTAATAGGTATATTTATTAATTTTAACAATATTTTTTGCACAGAAACACTTCTTTACAAGATTATTTTATGCTTCTCTTTGGACAATCTCATACTTGCTCATATAGTAGGGTTGTCAACATTAGCGCAACTAGGAATTCATCCGGGGGGGGGGGCTGGGGTTGAGTCGGGGGGGCCTAGGGCTTTTGTTTTTTAAAAAATGAAGAATAATGTTAAAACACATATTTTTTGAATAAAACGTTTTTTACATGAATTTCTCTATCAATAAATTTCATAGACTTGGTTTTCAGACCGTGTTCCCGTAGATTACTTAAATACCTACAAATTTTCTAAAAAAATAAAAATTAACACATTTTTTGAACACAACAAAATAATATTAACTAAACAAAACTAGAAAACTTCATTTTTACTACATCACAAGCAAATAAAAATTAATACGTAGCCAAGAATCATAATTCAGGACTTCTCTGGGGGGTGCGCAGGAGTACCTAGGGGGGGCCCGGCATCCCCGGGCACCCCTGTAGTTACGCCAGTGGTTGTCAACCGTCCTCTATTACAGAGGACATTCCTCTTTTTGATTTTACTGTTCTCTTTTCTCTCACGCATTGAAAAAGTTCTCTTTCTTACATATCAAACTCAAAATCTAAAAAATATTCATCTATCGCCACAATGCTTTAAGAAATTGTTAATCTGTGTCTTTCGCTACCCCACTCGTTTATACAGAAATGAAAATAAAGAAATACGTACGAAAGACGTACGTGTGGAAGCGCTGTTTTGTTTTGAAAAAAATTTTTGTTTAAAATAGTTTGTTTTATGTTAACACGTTTTGAGTAATACATTTTTAAGAAAGTAAGAAAGACATATCGTTGACATAACTTTTTGGTAAATCAGGCATATACCTATCGTTGACATAATTTCTTGGTAAATACTAGACATTTGGGCGAGGTTTCAAAAAATGTTTCGCCTGTGCCTCTTTTTTACCCTCTCGTCCTCTATTTTTGATTTTGAAAGTTGGCAACCCTATCATACAGGGTAGCGCCTCTCATAAGACGTAGAGACTCCAAGGAGAACGAACAGTTCGTATGGAAATGAAATTTTGTGAGCATGAGCATAATGTAGGTTAATTTTTGTAGGTGATTTTGGTAATGGTTAGGTATAACACCCTATACATACAGGGTGGCGCACCTCATTCGCCTCGGTTGATTATACGAAAAAGGAAAGATGTAGAAACAAAATATTTTATGGGTTAATTATTCTGAAATATACAAGGTCTTTCAGAACTAAGATCCATACCAAAGTTATATTTTTTCTTATGAAACACATGCAAATTTGCATGCTACAATAGAATAGACTATTAACACCCTGTACATTACTTTTCAGAATTAATCCTTGGGCTGAGTTTAAAAGTAGAGAAATAAACATTACAGAAAAATGTTATTGCTTCCTTAAATGTATACAGGGGTATCAAAAATTGCTGGTCTATTTTAAATATTTATTTTACATAAAAACTTCGTTATTTCAAATACAACACTATGTATTTTTTTAAATAAGTCGAAGCAGATTTAAATGCTCTACAAGCTATATTAGGGTTTTCTATGCCTATCTGGCTCAGATTTTGAATAAAAAGCGATTTTTCAATAAAATTGTAATCAAGATGGCTAGTGTCGTCATGGCAAGTTTCCAGTGACAGTAGCTATTTTCAAAATCGAAATTAGTTTATGGACTTATTATTAAAATTTATACCAGTTTACTTTTATTTAATTTACCTACAATAGTTTAATAAATAATATTTTTTTAAATATATATTTATTATTCTATCAAGAAAAACGAAGATGTAGTTCCTTGAATTATTTAAACGATGATTTGTAGATATATGGATTTTCTATAAAAAGCCAATTACGGCAAATTAATTTTCTTCACTTCCAACTTCCAACGAAAGGTTTCTGTATAATAGTTTTTTTTATAAACTACACTACCAGCTCTGCGAAATAGGATAAGTAGTTTTTCAAAGAAACGCTTATCAGGAATATTCTTATTTGGATATCTTTTAGTATAAGCCCTTGAGGCCAAGAAGCAATTTTCCTCACAAAATAATATCACTAGGTAATAACGTACCTATTCGTTCTGCCAGCAGATACTGATTTATTTTTCTTGATAAAATAATGAATACTTACTTATTAAATAAACTATTGTAGGTAAATTTAAGTAAACTGTTATAAATTATAAATAATAATGTCCATAAACTAATGTCGACTTTAAAAATAGTTACTAACTGTCCTAGAAAATTGTCATGGCGACACCAGCCATCTTGATTGCAATTTTATTTAAAAATCGCTTTTTATTTAAAATCTGAACTAGATAAGTATAGGAAACCCTAATATAGTTTGAAAGAGCATTTGAATCTGCTTCGATTTATTTAAAAACTACAGGGTGTTGCATTTGAAATAACGAAGTTTTTATATAAAATATATCAGCAACTTTTGATACCCCTATACATTTAAGAAAGCAATAAAACATTTTAGTAAAGTTTATTTCTTTGGCTTCAAAGTCAGCACAAGAATTAACTCTGAAAAGTAATGTACAGGGTGTTGAGAAACTTTTTTTTATTATAGCATGCATATTTAAATATGTTTAATTAGCTCAAAAACCAAAGCATTTAAACATATTAAATCCTTACAATAAATGCCTTATTTATGCCTAAGAATCCAAATATGAAATAAAATACCGGGTGTTCCATAAGAAAAAATATAACTTTGGTATGGATCTTAGTTCTGACGCATCCTGTACATTTGAAAATAATTTTAAATTGTGCACATTGCCTCTCTACGTATACCCATAAAAATTTTGTTTCTACATCTTTCAGTTTTCGTATAATCAACCGAGACGAATAAGGTGCGCCACCCTGTACATGATAAAAGTAAAGGTGAGTTTATTTTGTATTACAAACAACTTAACCCGAAAAGTTATACAGGGTCAGGCAAAATTAATATTGAACATTGGTCACATTTAAAAGCAAGTTATTTTCATTTTAAATTGAACACCCAGTATATTATTTCAATATTCAAAGGAGAAATCATGACTCTTAAAAATACTAGGGTGGCCTACTCCTCCGACAAAGATGTTCCGAGATATTTTCATTTTTATGATTTGGTGTCAGTAGTTCTTAATTCTGTGATAAAATCTAGGTGGCTGTCATCGCTTGGATACTCTGTAGAACTTCATATTTTTTTTAAATGCTCTAAATTAATGTACATACTCACATAATCTAATTTTAATGCAAACTGTTACCTTGGGGTCTCCGTGTTGTCTGAGTGACGCCACCCTGTAGATATTTAATAAATTAAAAAGATATTTTTTGTCTGTTTTTTTTTAATATATTTTTGCCGTGAAATACAATCTGGCTTAAAAAACTTTTAGTTACTCAAATATCAAATACCGGGTGTTTTTTAAAAGTGGCTCACCTCTATAACTCTTTTTATTCTTTTCAGATAAATAAAAGAGGTTAAACTGTTACATTGGAGTCTCCATCTCGAACCACTCACACTTTTTTGAGCCACCTTGCAGAAGGTAAAATATTTGGCTGTACTTAAACTGCCGTTAAACGGTAGCCTACTGAAATGCCGTTAATAGGTATGACGTCGTTGATGTGACGCACTTGACGGCTTTTTAATGCTTTGGTTAAAATGCCGTCGAACGGTCGCGTACTAAAATGCCGTTAATCGTTAATGCAGAGTAGGCTACTGATTAATACTTAATAATTTGAATGTAATGTTGTCCAAAATCCGTCATGGCTTATTCTGAATAAAATTAACTTGTAACGGTGTATATGTAGGTAGACGTATATGTTGCCGTTGTAGGTTTGAAAATGTATTTGCGATAAAATGTAATATATGGCGTTGGTTTTCAGGTTTTTATTGCAAATTATAAACTGACAACTTAAAAATAATACTACGTCAACTTAAAAATAATAATGCTACAGATAGCATTCTCTGCAAAACTACAGTTTTGATTTAGGTCGCTTAGTCAATCCTGCACAACGGATATGTCTCCATAAAAGGCATCTACTGCAACAAAGTGACATATGATTTTTCTGCGTGTCTTCACTGCACACAGAACAAAACCAACTTTGTTGAAGTCGTTTCTGCTCAACTAGATTGGTTATTTTTTCAAAGGCTTTCTCGGTGCAAAAACTTCTAAAAGTCGTAATTTACATTATTAGTTATTAATTTGGTAATTATTAGGTATCGCTAGACTTACCTTATCATGTGGATATCAACAGCCTCATCAAGAACGGCATGTGATATTTCTTCGGGGAGCATTTTAAGGTCTACAGTTTCAAGTCCAAAGTTTCAAAGTCCTCTGAAATTATTGTCTTTCTCTCGCAAAACAGCTACATTGGCACCTGAAAACAGAATAGTTATTGGGACTAATAAGACGATAATAGAATATTTTAGTTTACCGTATTTAGCTTTAAGTATATTTAAGCAGCCATCTAAGTTTTCTTTTCTTGATTGATCGGATATCTCCATATTTGTTAAATCTTGTAAAGTAACAATTTTACCAGTACTTTCTTGAACTTTTTGCTGTATCATTTTTCTATTGGCCTTCATATTCAAATAATCCTTGACGCTTTCCTTCATGTTACTTGAAAGTTTTCTTTGGCTAGGGTTGAAAGTTTTCTCCTGGCTAGGGCATGTAGAACCTACAAAATATATCTTTTATGAATAAAATACCGTTCAAGCAATAGTTCTAAAAGCATACTATATGTCAACTAATCTGTAAACTTACCTTCGAAGTGACATGATTGTGCTTCATTTGAACCGATGTTACCTCGACTGGTCAATCTTCTTTAAATGTCCAAGACTGTCGAATTTTTTTCCCACTGCCCTTAAACTTCTTTCCACCGGGATTACGTGCATATAGAAATTGATAATAAATCAAAGAGCTTTCTATTGGTCTCACAATTTTACTGTTTGCAATCGTACGGGCATCTCGTTTCCAAAATGTTGTGTACGTATTTTCACCAAGTTCCTCAATTGCTTTCTTTGCGTCAGCGAGTGAGCTGAACCTATCCCCAATTTTCAGCATGCTAATTTCAGTCATGAAAAATAATTAGGTACCCCTAACTAACCTAAAAATGTTTATAGATAAATTAACAATCAGAAAACTAACTGAAACACTTACTCCGTCCTGAACCGATAATATCCAGATGTACACCTTAATTAAAATCAACTTATAGCACTTAGCACAAATTGTTACTACAATAATAGTGCAAACGCGACGAAAAAAACATACCAAAAAGGCAACGGAAAACGGAACACAAATTGATTAACGCCATTTTAGTACGCGACCGTTCGACGGCATTTTAACCAAAGCATTAAAAAGCCGTCAAGTGCGTCACATCAACGACGTCATATCTATTAACGGCATTTCAGTAGGCTACCGTTTAACGGCAGTTTAAGTACAGCGAAAATATTTTACAGTTGGGAGTTTGGTTTGGTTTGTTGGGAGTTGGAATCTTTGGTGCAGTAAAATATTTTCCTGAAATAGGATTATTCTTCTATTTTATAGGACCTACAGGCTATACCTGCAACAGTGCTAAACGCACTGTGCAGGTACCCTGTAGGTCCTGGACCTAGAATTTATTTGCGTGGGTTAATCTTTGCAGCAACTCTTGTAAATTTTATGTTTATTTGTTAATGTTTTACAAGTAACTACTATTTTCTAAAATAAATGAAAGAAAATATTGATAAATGGTTAAATTTATTTTATAATTTTTGTTATTCAATCAGTCACAATTTAATCAGTATGTATCAGATATTCACAAAAAAAATAATTATTTAAAATTATATTGAATCAAACCCCCTCATTTTACAAACTGTATATGTGTCCGCCGTGCGTCGTCCATCGTTGTATGCAATTTTATTAGTAAACTTAAAACATGACAGCTCATACTTATATGTACTTATATTTATTATTTTGCTAATGCACATTTCTATCAACTAGATTTTAACATTTTAACAACAATAATAATTAAACTTAAAATTATAATACAACAGCGTGAGTCTTAAATAAGTGCAAATATTTAATTTTTTTTTTCTTTTAATTTTTACATTATTTTATTTGTTGTCATATTATCAATATAATATCTTGATAATACGGCAACATAGGTTGTATATTAAATTAAGAAGAACGAAAACCCAGAAAAAATTCGTGGGTTTCAAAATTTAAGCAAAAAATATGTTTTTTTTTTTAATTTTTAAAGTAAAATATCTCGGTTATTTTGGACTTACTTGAAAAACGGGAAAATACCTTTTCTTTTATCGAAATCTACCAGCCGGGAAAATATTTGTAGTTATTTAAGACTCACCCTGTATTGAAAATCAATCTTTAGAACTAATTAAATCTAAGAGTTATTTAGAAGAAGAATGAATCCATTTGAAAGTAAAACAAAAAATTTCCTATTATTCCCCAAGCATTTTCTTCATATGGTATATTTTTTTCTTGCAGTTCGAATAATTGGTAGTCGCTAAATCTAAATTTGTAGTCATTAACAATACATTTTTCCTTTCGTACTCTAACTTAGCTTGTAGCCGTTGAATTTCCAAGGCAATAATTTCTACTTCATTGTTAGAATTGACTATATCATTTTCCAAATCTTGTTTTTCTTTTAAAAATCGTTTTTCATCTTCCTGCAAGGTACAGAATAACGCGCATGCTTTCTTTATTACATCTCTCTCCTCCTCATTACTGAAAACTGATAACGAATCTTCAATGGAATCCTGGAATGATTTACTCAGTTGTACATCGTTGGATAATATTCCACAATTTATCTTGGGGATATTGTCATCTCCAGTAGGTGATAATGGGCTCGATTGTTCACAAGTAGTTAATTGATTAACTTGTTTTTCGGTCTCAACATTTTCCTTCATTATTTCTTGCTCAGCATCTAAAATTTTTCTTACTTTTGGCTCATTTGCCCCATCAGAAGTTTCTGACATGTGTACTCTTTTTTTAGTATCCAAATTTACCTTAGGTCTATTGTCATCTACAGTATGTAATAATGGCATGGATTTTCCACAGGTACTTAATTGATTAACTTGTTTTTTCGTCTCCATTTTCCACACCTTTTTTATAGGTTTATATGGCTTCTTATATTTATCTAGTTTTATTTTAGAAGTTTGCGATTTATTCGGTTGTACATCATTGGATAATATTCCACAATTTATCTTGGGGATATTGTCATCTACAGTAGGTGATAATGGACTCGATTGTTCACAAGTAGTTAATTGATTAACTTGTTTTTCGGTTTCAACGTTTTCCTTCATTATTTCTGGATCAGCATCTAAAATTTTTATTCCTTTTGGCTCAGTTGCCTCATCGGAGGTTTCTAACATGTGTACTCTTTTTTTAGTATCCAAATTTACCTTAGGTATATTGTCATCTACAGTAGGTAATAATCGCATGGATTTTCCACAGGTACTTAATTGATTAACTTGTTTTTTCGTCTCCATTTTCCACACCATTTTTATAGGTTTATATGGCTTCTTATATTTATCTACTTTTATTTTAGAAGTTTGCGATTTACTCGGTTGTACATCATTGAATAATATTCCACAATTTATCTTAGGGATATTGTCATCTACAGTAGGTGATAATGGGCTCGATTGTTCACAAGTAGTTGATTGATTAACTTGTTTTTCTGTCTCAACATTTTCCTTCATTATTTCTGGCTCTGCATCTAAAATTTTTATTCCTTTTGGCTCAGTTGCCTCATCGGAGGTTTCTAACATGTTTACTCTTTTTTTAGTATCCAAATATACCTTAGGTATATTCTCATCTACAGTAGGTAATAATGGCATGGATTTTCCGCAAATATTTAATTGGTTAACTTGTTTTTTCATCTCTAACCACGACATTTTATGCGGCTTTTTCTTATATTTATTGAGTTTTATTTTAGAAGTTTGCGATTTATTCGGTTGTACGTCATTGCATAATATCCCACTAGCTGGAATAATAACTTGCTGTGTTTTGACATTCCTCAAAATAAACTTTATTAAGGAGCATGTTGTATCTTCAGTTTCGGTCTGATTTTTACCTAAATATGTCAAATCAAATCCACCATTTGATTTTTTTATATCTATAAAAAGCTCATCGCTGATACTCCTAGTTATTTGCTCGGGTAAAGTAGTTGAAAAAACACTTGAGTTACTGGGATCTAGCAGAATTGTAGACATAAATTGGCCAAAACGATTGCCATATATTATTATTTTAATATCTTGAATTACATATGCTCTGCCGATATCCAAATTTCTAAACTTTCTTCGAGGTAATATGCTGCCATATGTGTTAGTAAAGACATTAACCTTTGTATCCCTTGCTTCATCCGAAGTTTCTACCATCTGCACTCTTTTATTGGATTTATTCTCTTTTGTTTCCAGAGTTTGCGAATTATTCTGTGGGAGTTCTTCTGGAGGTTCTGGTAACATATCATTGGATGTTGACAAGTTACAACCACCTGGAAAAGTAACTTGTGGCTGCGGTTCCACATTCTTCAAATTAAACTTTATTAAGGGGCTTCTTGTATCATTAGATTCCGCCTGATTTTCACCTAAATATGCCAAATCACATCTACCTTTTGCGTTATTTATAGTTAAAATAAGGTCATCGCTGATATCACCAGCTATTTCCTTCGGTAAATAAGTTGTAAAAGCACTTGAGTCACTGGTATCTAGAAGCGTTGCAAATATAAATTTGCCCAACGGACCCTCCCATTTTTTCATTTCTTTAACCACATATGCTCTGCCGATATCCAAACTTGTCACATTTCTTCGAGGTAATGCACTGATATATTTGTTAAAATAGTCATTTAGTTGTTCCTTTATATATACATTTAGTGGCTTATTTAGTAAATCACACATAATTATTAATTAATAATACAAAAAACTCACACTGTAAATAATATAGTTCTCACTGAGTTTAGATGGAAGTGTCTGTTGTTATGGTCCGCTGTTGCCACCAATGATGCGATTTTCTAATGTTGTATTTAACTGCGATGCCCCCAATTTCGTAACAATTTCACTAGTAGCTGTTTCTGGTATAACTTTACTATATTTAATAGTAATAAACGTTGACGCTTATAAATTATTAAAAGAGAATATAAAAGTAAACGGACAAATAATTAACCGTCGTAGTGTCGATGTTCTCGACTGTCTAATAGGAACTGTTCATTCGCAGATCCCTAAGTTTAAAGCTCCCTATTTCTACCTGCTTTTTTAAAGCTACCCAGACCATAGGTGTACCATACAATTTAATATTCTTAAAATTACTTTTACAATATTCAACAGATACACTGCCCGAAAAAAAGGTAGCCTGGTCTAGACACTTAGGCAGCGGCAGTTCTTTAATAAGTTTACATATAACGCACGTGAACATTCAAATTTAATGTCTGTAAATTTTATCATTCTTTCAGTTATTTTATTTATTCAAAAAAAAAGATCTTATCTGGCGCCATGCGTCAGGGCTTAAAATCTGTCAGTTCTTTAAGGGCTCAAACACACTGACGACCAAGTCGCACCGGCCAGGCCGCAGCTACCTCTAAAACCATTAAATCAAATGATATAGCGCACACTAACG